GGTCACATCCTGTGCCCCAAACCTTCTCTGATGCCATATCATCTCCTGTCGGGTAACAAAGCCAGGGCACAGGTGTCGCTGCCACTGACTCCTACACCCACAGCAGGCATCAAGTGATTGCCATTCTGCTGAGCCTGGATGCAGCCTCAGAATCTGACTCAGCACAGCCTCCAGGCAGCCATTGCCAATCAGTCACCCTCAGGAGGAAAACTATTTCCCTCCCATTGGACAGAACTCCTCAGCCTGGCCCTTTGTTATCTTTTTCCACCCTTACCTCCCATCGCTGCTTCTATTCTCCAGCTCCCTTCAACTGCTTGCCATTCCCAAATATCCCTGCCTTTTTCTGACTCGCAGAGCCTTTGTCCGTGCCAGGGCCTCAGCCTGGAATGCCCTCCATGCAGACTGCCAGTTGTTCCCCAGTATCTGTTCTCACACCTCCCATAGTAATAGAGTTGCATCTGGGTGTATGGCTGCCCAGCAAAACACAGTGCCTGGCCTCCCTTGGACCTGGGGGTAACATGTGACTAAGTGCTGGCCAGCGGGATGTGAGCAGAGGTGATGCAGGTCAGGCTTTTTTCCTCCAAGTTTTGGAGAAAAACTTACGGGTTTGGGCATATACTCCCCAGGGCCCTTCCCCTTTCACACTGGCCAGGGATGGTGAGAACGGAGCAGCTGCCAGGGGCCCGGAGATGGATGGCAGGGAGCCCCTCCCAGCTCTGGACCACTGTCCTCTGGTCTGCTAAGGAAGAGACCCCCCCGCCCACCTTGTCAGAGTCCCTGTGTTCGGAGGTTGATTGTTACGGTGGCAGCTGAGTCTACACCCCAATGATATGCCCTCCCTGCTACTTCCTTGTTCCTTACAACCAACCTCCAGTGCCACCTCCCCAGTGAAGTGTCCTGGGACCCCAGCACTTCATATGCACCTCTCATTAGCACACTGTAAACCAGAGGACGGCTGTGGGCTCTCCCACTAGCCAGGCTGAAGGCAACTTCTCTCCTCTTCATCCATCCTCTGTACCAGAGCTGGCTACGGCACTAAGGCACAAACCTGGCCATATCGACCCCTTGTCCCCGCTATTGCAGCCCAGACCTCTTGGCCTAGTGGCCAATACACGACTCTGGCCTACTCATCCCCTTAGAGATGAGGCCCAGACAGCTCAGCGGGTCACGGCTCCCTCTGTGTGTGCAACCTCGTACCATCCCTCACGCTGCCAGCCCCACCCAGCCCCAGCATGGCGGGCCTGAAGTAGCTGCTTCCTGGCTGGCTGGAGCCTATATTGTCCTGCTCCTCATTTGTTACTAAGAACAGGGTCAAAGAATGGGAGAGTTTCCCTGATCTTTGTATTCTTCTCAAGTGGCCTAGTAAGTCCCACGGTCTCTATATCTGTTCCCAAGGCCCTTCTCCTGTCCCACCAGGCCATATGCTTTGCAAATGGCCCACACCTATTCCTCTGAACTTCTGGCCACCTTGACTCTCCTAATGAGGCCCGACCTTTGGCATCCCGTCCCAGGCCTGCAGGCCCATCACTCCCCTGGCAAACAGCACATGCGGCCCAGAAGCAGGATGCAGCCAGATCTCCGCCAGTAGGTGGCTATTTTGGGACAGGGAGGATCCTGGGAGGATGCTGGCGAGGTCAGAGTAGGAAGGGAAGGAGGTGGGTTTTCTGCCCATGATTATGTGTCCCAAGCCCTCTGGATGCCGCCCAGGGGCCCAGGGCTGCCACGAGGAAGAACACACCCACCACAGGGCTCCGGCCTCAGCCCAGCCGGCCGCAGAGGCAAACCGGGGGCAGGCACGGGTTTGAGGCTCTAGGCTCTGATCCCAGCGGCTACAGTGGGCGGGAAGAGCGTGTTTATTTGCTGCGTCCCAACAGTGGTGATTTCAGCATCAGGCGCAGTCTCAGGGTGGGGCGGGGGGTGGGATGTGTGGTGTGTGGAGGCGGGGGAGGTGTCAGAAACCAACCAGAGGGCAGATGGAGAACACGAGAAAGAATCGCTCAGGAATGATTACTGACGATAATTTATTGAGCATTCATGGAGGATCTACCATGTTTGGGGCACGATATCAGATGATGGCAAGACAAAAGTGAATAACGCTCTGACATCGTGTGTAGCACTTTACAGTTGTGTAAGTCCTCCTACAAGTATCAGGAGCCTTGAAGTGGTTCATAAAGTGGTTTATAAACTCTCACCCTAAGGAAATAACCCGAGATGCATCATTTAGGTGCAAGAACGAGAGTGGTGTGTTACTTACGAGTTTGGAGATTTGCAAATATTGCAGAATGTCAGAGCTCCACTCTGCCTGTTTCCAGTGTTCTGGGGAAGGTCGCCCCTCCATATGAAGTGCTCAGGACTAGCCTGGCACATACTGGGTGCTCAGTGAGGGGCAGTGGCAGTAACTGCTGTTACTCAGAGCAGGTTGGCAGGCACATGGCCCGCAGGCTTCCGTGCAGAGGAGGTAACTTTACTGCAGGGTGAGAAGCCACAGGTTGGACAGAGGGGGCAGGTCCAGGGACCCGGCAGGACCCAGCCCCTCCCCGCAGATGCATTTCACTGCGTGGTTCCACCGTCTGAGACTCCTCTGTGCAGCCCTTCCAGTCCTTCTCTGTTGACTCTCCAAAAAGCTGGGAGAGCATCTGGGTCTCCTTCCGATTTTGCCTCAATTTGGGGTCTTCTCTCTAAATTCTCCTGGTGTTACCCACCTGGTTCTGGTCTATACATCAGGTCAAACTGCCCTCTGGGGAATTCTCTAACATCTGGGACACTGTTCCCAGGAGCCCCTGCTCTGACCTGTGTCAAAACTTTCCTTCTCCCACCGCGTCCCTCCTCCCCACCACCTCTGGGCCTTCATGCTGCCTCACAGCTTTCTTCTCCCGGTCCAAGAGCCTTGGTCTCACACAGACTCCAGGAAGGTGAGGAGAGCCGAAGCACTCTTCCAAAGCCTTCCTCCCTCCTGCTCCATCCTCTCCCAGCTCCCAGCATCCCAGGACCACCTGACCTAGTCTCTCCCGAGCACAAAATTGATACCTATGGGTTAGGCACGCACTGCACTAGTGGGAAGAACATGTGAAGCCCATCAGGCAGGGAACGGAGGAGGGCCATCCTCTGCCTTGCCACAAACGAGCAGCCCACATTGCCCCCAACGCCAGGACATGGGGTGTGCCAAGGATTTCTGTGCATTTTTAAAGTGGGAGAGGAATTGAGGGGGAAAAAAGAACAACAGTGCTTACTAGGAATCAGGAAAGGTGCCAAGTGCTTTCCGCAATTATCTCACCGAATCTCCCCCATCTACCTGCAAGGTGGATATTATTTCCATTTTTCAGACAAGGCAACTGAGTCAGAGAGAGGTTAAATAATTCCCTGAAGGTCACACAGCTGGTAAATGTCAGAGCTAGAACCTATATCTTCCGTGGCTCCAAATCTCCTGCCCTTCACCAGCATTCTACGCTTTAAGCAAAAAACAATTGCAATTGACTAAGAGTTACGGGGACAACAGACACAATTATTTGAAATGCAGGCTGCCCTAGAAATCTTGATGCTACAGTTGCTCTGCCCAGGCCCTGTCACCCCACCCTTGCCTTCATCTCATCTCATTAACCTTGGCATTCTTTTCCCAATGGCTTTCCCAGATCCCTGGGCTCCATCTCCTGGTCCCCGAGGGAGGGAGGGAGGGAGGGAGCTTCCCAGGGTTTCTGGACACCCTTTTAATTAACCCGGACGACCCTCTTCTGACTGGGGCCAGCTGAATGCCGTCATGGTCTCACGTCTCCCGTGGCAGCACCCCTGAACTGTGACTCCCACCTCAGCCCTCTGACTCTCCGGAGAATGTGATCCCTCCATTTCCCATATGCTCGACATCTGTCAGCCTCTCTTCCCTGGCTTGGGGACCCTGGGTGAGGGCTACTAGGACCTTTGGCTCCTGTGTCCAGTAGGGGGCCCACAGAGAGTCCTGCGAATGCCACCTGCCCACAATGGATATTGAGGGGCCACACTCTGAGTTGGCAGGGGCCCAGAGCAGGGCAAAGCCTTGGCGATTACTCAGAAGTGTTACCTTGTCTCCCCCAAACCTTTCTTGGAGCACCCTTCCTCACTGCCAAAGGAGTACAGCCCATTCCAGCTTCCCATGGGAATCGTGAAACTTGCTCATCTGTCATTCTCATGGCCTAATAATAATGGTTGGCAACCTACAAAAGTCCTCCTGAGTTATGACTTCTCATTATTATTAATTGAGGACAATGCAATTGAACCCCACACCCAGCACAGTGCCCTGCACAGAGCGGGAAGTCAGCACACAGCTGTGACTAGATGAACAGACCTGGTGAGGAGCAGAGGGGTGAGCACTAGAACAGGCGTCCTCGGGAGTGATCTGCGCACATGGGGCCAGCAAATGGCCAAGGTAGAATCTGAATCCAGATGATACTGGTTGACCTTATACACCACATCAGCTTGTGACCCTTAGCTTGTATGCAAGTGTGTGCGTGTGTGTGTGTGTGCACGCACGCACGCACGTAGCCTAGCTACCATACGCACTACATACACAAATACGCACAGCACCCTAAGCCACCTAGCTAGAGCAGGCAAGGTTTTACAGTTTGGGGTAATTCATTCACTTGGTAACAAACACTTTTGTACACCTACTATGTGTCAGGAGTGGGAGGCACAATAGTGAACAGGACGAGCCAGGTCTCTGCCCTTCTGGGTTTATCGTCCCTTCGACTCTGCATGACCCTTCATAATCATTATCGTATCTGATTTCACCACCTGGTGTGCACAGTGTCAGGCCCATAGATGAGTTATAAATGAATGAATGCCTGAGTGGATGAATGATGAATGGGGGATGGGCGGGCCGATCACTGAGTAGATGAAGGTAAACATCACAGATATTGTCATTCTGACCTTTCAAATGGAAAGTAATGCCCTGAGCAGGGTGTGGCTGGAGCACAACCACTGAGAGCCTCTGGTGTGTCCCCGTCCTAGTCACCGTTCGCAGGGCTCCTTACCTGGGGGGCAGTGACACCCTGGAGACGTCTTCGGGGCCTCCCGGCGCCTCCGAGAGTGGAGCTTCCATTTCTGCACAAGGAGACAGAGAAGAGAGGTCACAGGATGCCATAAATGGCACATCTTGGAAAGCGTCTGTGGGCTGGTGGAGGGGGCGGAGAAGGGGCGCTGGGGGGCTGGCAGGACGACTGTTCCCGGATCAAAGGCTGGCCACCAGGCGTCTGGATAATAAGAAGCAGACGGAGAAGGAGAAGGTCCTGTCTAGGTAATCGCAGTGTCTGACATCTTTCCAGTGCTCTTAAAGAAATTAACCCCAACCACAGACCCCTATAAACCAGCTGGGGCCTTCCTGTACCCCACAATTCTGGGCACGGTGACCTGCTTTTCTCGGGTCTCTGCTAATTGTTTCCTGTCTAGGTCTGGGCTCTGATGGACCCTGGGGGTGGGGACAGTGACTTCTGTTCTTTTGGTGTCCCTCACAGAGCCAGGCACAGGTAGTCCTGGCCAGGGGTGGGGAGTAGGGGGTTGGGCAGGCCTTCTGCCCCTCCACCAAACCTCTTCCCTACCAGCTTGCAAATCACTAAGCCAATCTGGAAGGCTCCAAAGCAGCGGCCACAAGTAGCCTGAGACCCCTCCTGCCCTCAATGAGTCAGTCCTCATGACCACCCCGGCCAGGCTCGCACAGACTTAACAGAGATGCCACTGGGGCCACACTGCCAGGTTCATACGCAGTTCTCGGACCCTGAGCTGATACAAGTCCCTACCTCACTGGGTTAACGAGAGGATCGAAAAGGTTGATGTATAGAAAGAAAGGAGCCTGAGCCCAGAGGTCGCACAGTAAACGTTAGCTGTTGTCACACTCGTGTTACAGGTGAGGAGCCTACAGCCTGGACAGGAGGTGTAACCTGGACGAGGTCAGGGCAGAGGAAGGCTCGGGGCTGGGATTTGAACCCCTGCTCTCTGATGCCAGTGCAGCAGTTAGAAGCTGGTAGCCTCAGGGCCACATTGGCGTTTCGATATATTTTATTTGGTTCCCATGGTGATTTTTTTTTCATTGAATTTGTTGCCAATATTTTGGAGTGGCTGATTTCACATGCAAATCTGCATTTCTAATTTCTTTTGAAAAACTGGAAGATCTGGCCACCTGGGCCTGTACCGTGGCTGGCAGTGGTTGACTGTGCCCAGTGCACTGTAGTCCCTGACGTGTGAACCCGTTAGGATGCCAGCTGGCCCCTCCCGAGCATTTCTCCAGCATCTGTCTCCTCCTAGTGTGTAACCCTGCCACTCAGGGTGGGTCACGGGAGTGGTAAAGGAAGTCGCATGGGAGGTGTCACAGGATTTGGTGGCACCTCTGGGTTGTGGTGGAGAGGGTGGTGAGGAAAGCTTCAGGAGGATTCCCATCGAACTAATACCTGCTGAGCCCCCACTGCGTCCTGACTGAGCTGGGTGCCTGTATACAGAGAATCACATCTACTTTTCACAGTCTAACTCTGAGGTAGGTTTAACTGTGATCTCGTTTTCTACTTAAGGAAATGGAGGCTCAGAGAGGCTGAGTGACTTGCTGAGGGGCACACAGCTAGTATGCAGTGGGTCTAGGACGAGAACTCAGGTTTTTTGATGCAAAGTCCACTCCATCCTGCTGGAGAAAGTGTGTACAAATGCCCCTGGGAGAGGGAGTACAGCAATAGATGGGGGGGGTGGTGGTGCTGAGGGCAGAAGGAGGCAGAAGGTCAAGGCAGACAGGAGGGGAGGAAGGAAGGAATGTCCCCAAGGGGAGCCCCTTACTCACTAAGGGAGGCTGGCACCCAAATAGTCAATGGATGGATGTAGAGGCCAGGCTACAGGTGGGCATAGAACTGCCACTGGGCAGGCAAATGACCTCGCAGGACAAAGTCTGGTGAAAGGCCTGGGATGGCCAGCTCTGAGCCTGGCTCACTGGTACCACTTTCCTGTGGGAGACCACACATACCTACTCCCACATCCCTCCCCACCAGTAACCTGTGGGCTCCTCAAGGGACTTGTGGCTGTGTGTGGCACACAGTTAAGTGTGTGACATAAGTCTGCCAAATGACAGAGCCACTCAATGTCTGACACGCCAAGGCCAGCTGAGTTTGCACCATTTGGGCCACAGGTTGCAACCATGAGGATTGTCACTCTTCTGACAACAGCAAGATGCCAAGCACAGGTTGGGCCCTGGAGGTGGAGAATGCAGCACAAGACGAACAGGGCCCCTGCCCTCCTGGGGCTCACCTTCCAGAGCTGGAGACAGACAACTGAGAGAGAAACAAGTGATTACATACGTCAGGCAGTGAAAAGTGCTGGACAGAAAAAGAAAGCAGGGTAAGGAGATGGAGAGTGATGGAAGGTGGTATTTTACACTTGGGGGTCCAGGAAGGTCTCTTTGTGGAGGGGATGTTTGAGTAGAGAGCTGGCGGAAGAAACGAAATGAGCTGGGCAGAGGATCTGGAGGAAGCGTGTTCCAGGCAGAGGGAACAGCAGAGGCAAAGGCCTGGAGACAGGACTGTGTGTGGAGTGTTTGAGGAAGCGGAAGGGGCCAGTGTGGCTGGAATGACGTGTGTGAGCAGGGAGGGATGGGAATGCGGTGGGAGGGCACAACATCAGGGCCTGGCAGACTGTGAATTTAGAACGCCACAGATCCCTGACATTTCCATGGCTTATTGACAGCCATAAAACTCTAGAGCTAGTATGGATGTTGCGGTGTGCCATCCAGGACCCCCTTTCAGGATCAGGCCACTCATCTTAGCTGCTCTGTGTTGGCTGCTGACGGCCCAGTCTCTCCCCGGGAACTGCTCTCAGCTGAAGAGACCTGCCACGACCAGGGTCACGCCCACTGCCTCAGGCAACACAGGTACAATTACTCAGAGATATGGATACTCAGCCCCTTTGCCTCAATTCAGGATGACTCTGAGGGCCAACCCAGCTGCAGAGCCCCTGCAGGACCAGCTGAGGCCTCTGTCCTGACTACATGGCAGCTCGACTCCTCCCTCTCCCCAACCCTGCTTCCCTTACCCCCTCCAATGTTGACCCCAAGAAGCCTCCTGCTCACAAACCTCCAACTCGGAGCCTGTTCCCTTGGGAACCTGACTTAAGACAGACCGAGAAGTGATTTTCATGTTTCCTGAGCCTTCACCCGACCCTCACCACTGCCCTCTGCAACAGGCAGGCCAGAAATCAGCCCATCTTATAATCAGGGAAGCTAAGACTCAGAGAGAGAATGGGAATTGATTTGAACAAGTACACCACAGAGGGCTTCAATTCCAGGTCTTTCACCTCCAAGTTCAGCACTTTTTTTCAATCAATTTAATATTCAGGGAGCTCCTACCAATTGTGAGACTGTGCAAAACAGAGCACAAAACACAATCCCCATCAGCAAAGGGGTTTGAGCCTCGTGTGGGAGAAGCGTGTTGAGATGTGTCCAGGTGACCACAGGCTTTGAGTGCTGAACGGGAGATGGGGGCCTACGTGCCCAGGTAAGGGGTCTAGCATGGAGGGGCCGTCTAAGGGTCTGAAGCAGAGGAGACACATGGTCAAATCTGGCTTGTAGAAGGGCCCTCCAGCGGCATGTTAGGAACAGACCGGGGGCAGGAAGAAGGTTGGAAGCTGAGGTTCCTCTCGAGGCTGTCACTGTCATCCATCCAACTCAGAGACGCTAGTGGTCTGGGCTCCCACACGGCAGCATGACGACGGGAAGGGACATGCAGGACAGGAATGGACGGGGCACAGAATGGTCTTGGGGTGGGGTAGGGCCCGGGCTCTGCCGCGGGCAGCTGAGGTGCCCCCATGGAGACAGGACAGGGGCAAGAGCAGGTTTGTGGGCAGAGGACGAGTTTGGTTGGGGAGAAGCTGAGTTAGTGGAAGGTCCAGGCGGGCAGGGCACATGTGGCTCTGCTGTTCAGGAGAGAGGCCTGGGTGAGAAGGGGGATCTGGCAGCCAGGAGCATCCAGCAGGAGGGGAAGGAAACATCTGAGAGGCAAAGGCACCAGGGACGCAGAGGTGAGACACTGACTAAATTCAGAGCGTGGTGTGTCTTCTTGGCCCGCCCAGTGTTTATTTTAGAAATGTACTAAATTCCAACATCACAGCAACCCTTCCGGAGTCTGGGCTTCAGCCCCACCCACTGACCCGCGTCTGCAGCTCACCTTCTGACACCCCAACCCCAGGGATCCTCCAGCCCGCAAGACCTTCACTCCACCTGTCCTTCCACTTTTTACTCCCTCGCCCGCCATGTTTCTCTTCCCTCCTAACCCAGCTCAAATTCTGTGGTCAGTGATCACAATCACCCCCGGCTATACCCTCGGCTGCCTTGATGCCTTCCCCTACAGCACAATCTCTTGGCTAATCACAAACCTGGTAGATCCAACATTTCCACCTACCCCACGCGGGCACCAAGCAGCGGAATGAAGCTGGAGAAAGCCCCCCCCTGCCCCCGACTGGCCTCACTCAAAAGCATGATCCTTATCTCAGATGAACGCCCAGCAAGCATACTGGGTTTCCTTCATCCGTCCTCTCCCTGTCTTAGTAGTTCTCACACCTTCTCTCTCCACAACCCCCACACCCCACCCTCAACGTCACTGTCACCTGATGACCTTGAGAAAACAGAAGCTGGCAGAAGAGGCCTTCCAGAGGCTCCTGCCACCATGCATACCCGCCCGTCTGTGACTGCCCGAACACTCTCTCCTCTTGCATGGCCAGACTGTGCTCTGTAAGGCCAACCCTCCACCGGGTCTTCCCACTCCCGACCGCTCCAGGACACCACTCCAGCAAGTCGTCCTCCCCGCGCCCCCGCCGCCCCGCATCATCAATTCCTCCTCTGGACTGGATCACTTACCCCAGGGTCGGCACACGTTTTCTGTAAAGGGCCAGCTAGTAAATATGTTAGGCTGTGTGAGCCATACGATCTCTGTCACAACCACACAACTCGACTATAGCGGGTGAAAAGCAGCCATAGATGCGTCGAGAACACGACAAGCATGGCTGTGTCCCATAAAAACGAATTGACAAAAGCAGGCTTCCGGCGGGGTTTAGCTGTGGTTTGCCAGCCCCTGATGTCA